AGGGAACAGTGTAATGATTTCGAGCAATTGCCTGTTTGTTAAGAAAGAGAGTACTTTTTCAGGCTCGTGGACCCTGGGGGATGCATCAGTGAAGGTAGTGAATGGTAGAAAAACAGTGCCTTACTTTACTAAATTGAATGAAATAGGAGTTTGTCAGTGGACTCAGAGACTACTTAGAGGAATAGTTACTAACGGGCAGGAGGAAAATTTCCTTTATATCTTGCATGTTTTGTATTCTGAGCCTGGAAGAAAGAAAGGATACCTGATGGAAGATGAGAACGTTCTTCTTAGTCTGGGCACTTTCTATGGATGTGACCAAAGTTGGAAGATGAAAAGACACGTGAGATTAGGACAGGGACGCACTCATCATCATCATCATCATCATCATCCTTCTCTTTACTCAAACTCAGTCAAGCCTTATAGCTCCTTGTGACAGTATCTTAATTATTAACATAGCACAAACTTTCCCCTTGCTGCTGGTCATGAGTAAAAAATAAAACTAAATAACCACCATCTCACTTCAGTTGATTCCTTAAAATTCTTCATATTGCTCCAAAGTTGTATCATAAATCCCGAAACTGGCAAAAGCACAATGGTGGAAAATCAAGCATCTGAGCAATCCTAAATCTTGGCACAAGAAAATGAAGTCTCTTGGGAAAAATATGTCAAGTGGTTGTTTCTTCTACTTCTGTTTAGTTTTGTGGTGGGAAACATGATTAAACCCAAATCATAAAGAAGTTTCATGAAATAAGGCATCATGCCAAGGCATACACACTCTTCCAAAACTATCTTTTGAGTAAACTAAGAAATGAGTAAACTAGCAGAGTAGTAAGAGTCAATTCTCATTTCTCTGGGTCTGAATGACTTGCCATCATACCACATTTTTCCTCACTATCAACCAAGTCTCCCACAATGTCCGGTCATGTTGGAAGAGGAATTGCCTCTGCTCGTTAAAAGAGCGATAATCATTCCCTGAATTTTCATGAACGACGGGTAAGGAATCATAGGCCTAACAATGCTGGCAAGATATGCGCTTTATGTGAATGTCAGCTTCTGAGAATATGACCTAAATCCAAACATCAGTAGCTTTTCAGGTGATGGATGTCTTTGAGACTCACATCCAGGAAAACACCAGTTTTGCACACATTCACAATGCGGTCTGGAATTTCAAGGACTTCTTTATTTCCTTCAGTCCTTTTTATAGACTCAAAGTGTCCTTGAACCCAAGTTTAAGGTCCATTGTTAAGGATAATCAAAATTTGACTGTTAACTGCTTTCTTTGCTCGGAACAGTCAAGCGGGAAGGGTTCAGGAGAAGGCAAGGAATAGCTCTGCATCTACTGACAAGCTCCTCCTCTTAGGGAAGTCAGTTGCAACATCAGGTCTTTGTATATATTGTTAAAGAATGTGTTCAGTGATGGGGAATATGTGCCTGTAGATAGGATTTCTGACACATTTAGTAATATTTCACCTCTCCTGATCAACTACGACAATGATGGGAATAATGACCAAGCACATTCAGATCAGAAACAGTAAGGGATTTTCCTCTTCCGTGCCTGTGCATTCTCTTAGTCCTTGCACTCATGTCACTTGCACACCGATGGTCCCCTTTGAATCTCACTAAGCTTTCTTCTGAGACTAATGACACACTTAAACTAAATAGAGAAGAGAAAGAAATGAAGCACAAGATTAAAAAAAAATACTTCTTGGAAAAAGGAGAACTAGGGTATCATTCCAGAACCAGAGCATAATTTACAAATGTACGAATTCATGTTTTCCTAGAAATGGCGATCTTAATTTACATAAATGGTATCTGTCAAAGTTAATGACTATTCTAGGACAAACAAAACTCAGAGTTTAGGGGTTGGCTCTGAGTTAATAATTGCTCTTGTTACAAAATGCTGAGTAGTAATGAAATAAGGAAGAAGCCAGTGTCTACGTATTTAAGATTAAGCCGATAGGGTTCAAATACACAGGTTATGAAGAAAGTAATAAACACAAAATGGTTGACGGCTTGAACAATCAGGTGTTCAACTACAGAAATATAGTAGGTTCAGGTCTCTTAACTCATTGTGTGTTTGAGATTTATTTCACAGAATTGATTTAACTTAAATCAGCTGGCTGCATGAGATACAGATTTCTTCTCTGCTCATAGGAAACCTAAGGAATGAAATACAAATTAAATAATCAAGGAACTGAGCACCAGTATATAGGGTAGGACGCTTAGGCAGCAAGTAGAGGTTACATTAAAGAGCCAGATGGACTTTGAATCCATAACGTGTCACTCGGAGCCCAAGCAGTGAATGATGAACGACAGGCGATACCAAACATCACACGCGTCCAAGTCCAGAAGCCCATTCTCTCCCTCGGCCTGGCTACCATATTCACACTTCCAACTGTGTTTCTACAGCTAGAATATTCTCATCCCCCACAGCCCCCACCGAAAAAAGAGAAGGATGAAACCTAAGCACTAGGGAAAATACATTTTTTCTCTTTTTATTGTGAGTTCTAACGTAACTTTTATTAAACATAGAGCACGTGAACACATGACAGTTGCCTTCATTTGTTCTCACATGGAGCTGATAGAGGAATACTTGGGAGGAATGTTTCTAAAGCCATAGCTAGCTTCTTCTCCATTTATTTTCTTTTTTAAAAAAATATGACAAAGCATTAGAGGAAAAAAAGTTTCTTAAGTTGTGAGAATATCAAATATTACCCATCAATCCCTGAATCATGCTATTCAAAGTGCTTAAATCTACACTAAAAATAGAACAAAAAATGTACTCCCAATGCAGCTAAATTAACACCTATGGATGCCTAAAATATGACTGTGGTCTGATCACTTCCTCTACACACTTCCATCGTGCACTTAAAACAAAATTAAAAAATTAAAAAAAAGAAATAAACCAGGCCATGGCCATGTTTACAGTTTTCTGAGCACTGGGGAGTCTGGAATCCAGTCCAGTGAGGTTCGCTGACAGGTGTCCATAGTACAAAGCAAACAATGGCCTTCTCAGGTTCTGAAAATAACGCAACGTGCAAAGCTGACAAAGTTTGTGTCCTTGCAGCTTCAGTTCTGGTTTGGGAAAATGTGACACAGGTCCGGGGGGAGCATGGGAATAAGGAACAGATCGTAGAGAAGGACCCCAGGTGGCTTGTCAGGGAAATGAACACTTTGTAAGCAAATAAAAATCACTGCACATCCCAAGGCTCCTTTACCTTGTCACACAAATACTGAGACCTTCGCATTGTTGCAAAAATCTTATGCTCATCTCGTACATTTGCAATGTAATCTTACCCTCCCAAATGAACTCTTTGGAAGTTTACACTTTGGTGTGTGTGTGGTCAACTCACACCGAACTGTAGAATTATTTTCTCATTATATGGTGGTAGGAATAAACCGAACATACGATAGTCACGACACGAGCCCACAGGCGATGACTGGCATGGAAATTCCTACAAGGAATCACTACAGGAATGTATAAGTTCTTTATCAGTGATTTCATCACATTGGTTGTTTTTTTTTTTTTAACTAAAAGCTACGTAGGTAGTATTTCCCTTTAACAATTCCACCCTCTGTAAGTTCCTTGATGACTGATTTTGCATCATCTTCAACATGAATATGTGTTAGCTGCTTATGCCACTGATTTCAAACATAAAGCTAAATGGTAAGGGATGAATTTCCTGGGAGCATCAGCTTTCTGTTTCTGAAAGATAGAATCACACAGTTAAAATAAAACGAATTATTTATACAGTAAAATTATTTTAAACACTTTCTCATCTAACTTAAAAACTAGTTTGTGTAAATAATGTTTATTTTGAAAATAGTGATTTCTGTTGGTACTCTTATGTTTGACCTCCTGAGTTCTCATATAAACACTTCAATATTAATAAGTGTTGCTTATGTTCACAAACTGAAACCGAACCCTTGATTCTGAATGGAGCATTGAAAATTAAATACAGTGAATTAACATTTAAATACAAGGGGATCCCATAGTAAGTTTCACAGATTTGTTCTGACTCTTTAGAAAGTAACACTTAATATAATACAAGGTGACAAAACATATTTGATGACACATCCTGTCCTTCCCTTTGGTTTGGAAGCCTTCAACGTGAATTTCATTTCGACTTGTGTTGATTCACCCTTTTGAGTTAACTTGCCTGGCATTTGCACATAATCTCATTTGCAGAAAAATTATAGAGGGAAAAGAGGAAGTAGAATATTAAACAAAAACAGCCACAAACACATTCATGCCTTTCCGGGAAGTGATCAAATATAGGGCTTGATTTTTTTTTTTGGTTTTTTGTGTGTTTTTTTTTTTGTTTTTTTGTTTTTTGTTTCTTTTGTTGTGTGTGTGTTTTATATATATATATATATATATTTATATAAGGGTACATCAACTCATTTAAAAAACAGAAACAACACTCTCTCCCCCATTTGCAGGCCCTCGATCTTCTCTTCTTAGCACTCTGTAGCGGTCACTGTCAAGTGACTAGCACACTTCTGGGTCTGGAGTGTATTCTGACGAGCAGTGAATTAAATGTTAAGACAGTTAGACCCCCCCCCCTCAGAGTTTACACATCATGCCGCCATTAGAAGGGTAGAGGTGGGGAATGAGGTGGGACAAGGAAGAGATTCAGGGCTCTGATTGACGGGGCCCTCCTATGAACAAGTGTTCTTCTCATCTTTTTTTTTTCCTCCTCCCAAATGGCGACGCTGGCCTGTGCAGCACTGCCCTCTGAAGGCCCCCGTGGCCCTGCTGATCCCAGGCAGAGCCCAAGAGAGGATCCGGTGCTCCTTGTCCCATCGGATAGATTTGTCCAAGCACCCCAAGGAAATGTTAAAAGCAAAACAAAATCAAGAAAAGAAAAGAAAACCCATTCTAAAACTAAACTAATGAAGCAAAAAAGGGTTTCCTATCTATACATTAAGTCTCTTCTTTAAAAAAATGTAAATTTACAAATTCCAATGACATATAAAACAAAGTCAAAAAATGTAATGGTAAGAGACACGGTAAAATAGGAAGACACTGATGCTACAAAGAAATTGCTGAAAACATATGTACAAGACCCTGTTTTTCCTCGTGTTCTAGAGATTGTAATGCATGTTTTTTAACAGCAGCAGTCGAGGATTTAGTTCCAGGCACTGGACTGCACACTCCACTCAAGCTCCCAGGGATGGGATGTCCCTTGCTTTTCTGTCACCAAATCACACTGGATATACTGGTCTCCCTTGGCAACAGCGGCAGGATGGCACTGTTTGTGTGGGCCTCGTCTGGATTCTGCTCCCTGCTCGATTTTGTCTGTGGCCGCTGCCCGTTGATGAGTGTCATGGGGATGTTACAATAGGTATGCTGATTTCCTATGGAGGTAAGGGGCAGGGTGCCGGGAGGAGGTACGTCGTACTCATAGCTTCGGTAGTAGTGTTTCTGACGCATCTGTGAATGGTACGTGTTGTGAAAGGTGGAACGGAGATCTGGATGGGCAGTGGCTAGAGCTGTAGAGGTGGCCGCGGCCATGGAGATGGCCGAGACAGTCTGCAGCTCCCCAAAAGGCCCCTGCTCACTAACATCTAAAGCCTGCTCGTGCGTAATGGGTTCTATCCTCTTAAAAGGCATTTCATATTGTAAACGTTTCCAGAACTTAGAGTTCAACTTGTTGCATTTCGGTCCGTGCCATTTAATAACCGTCAGGAGCTTGATGGTGTGCTTGAGGGCTTCCACCTCCTGGTAGTTCATGATGCCTCGGAGTTCACTGCATTCAATCAGTATCACTTTGATTTCTCCAGTGACCAGCATGTTTCGAAGTCTGGTCTCCAGCTCAAAGATGCTCCAGCCCCTTCTGACTACATAATTTGGGGTCATGACAATAATCAGCCTCTTGCTTTGATCTACACACCTTGCCACATCTTCAATGTATGCTAGAAAAGAGAAAAGAGTTTATCAGAATGACCAGATCAAAGATCTGCTCCAGAAAGCCCCAACAGCTTCTCTTGCACACGTTACGTGAGAACTGTTGCTTGATAGGTCATACCTTAGAAGATGAAGACAGCCAGTGACCACAATGAATAGAGTATGGGCTTCTCTTTTCTCAATGCTAGAAATATTTTTCCCAGGTACCAATCTCCCGTTTGTTTTTTCAAATGTCAAGACTCATAAAAGGAGATGCTTTACAGAATAATGGAACTAGCTTCTCAGGGCCGTCAAAAATTAAGTTTCATATGAACACATATGACATTTCTTTCTTGAGACACTGATAGATACCATTTTTGATGTAGAGAACCACAAGTTAAAATTCTGCCTAAAAATAATGACGACACACAGACAGACAAAGAGTATGCACACTCTCAGACGAAAACATTAACTTACTTCCAGTTGGGATTAAATCTCTATCTGGTATGAACAACTTATATCCATAATGCTTTTCAAGCATGTCAGGTAGGATTTCGAGAGCAAAGCGTTCTTCTTCCCCTGTCTCTTGATTCCACTGGTCAGGATCCACTTTGGTGTATGATAAGTACGCATCATAATCTTTATTGTCTGTCAAAAAGATTACAGAGTAAAGTTGAAGTCACTGCTCTCCAAAGAAAACATTAGGACATGAAAACATTCAACTCTTTCCAAAAACATCTCTAAATGCCCTCCTTTGGGGAGACCAAAGAAAGAAGCCTTTACTAATTTTCAGTAAGAATTCAATGATGTCACATATTCTGGAACTAATTTGGAGGTATAAAGGATCACATTTTTATTTGTTGTTTTTGTTGTTGTGAAGACAGTAGCAAGAAAATTAACAAAAAAAGCAATGGAATGTTAACTTTCAACATTTCTGAGGCACAGGTCATGGAGAATTTTGACTGCGTATAAAAGGCACTTGGTTGGGTAGTATGCTCTTACTCTAAATAACTGTACATTCAACTAATCCTGCATTTGGCCATTTTACTCTGTTGAAAAAAAAGAAAACTGCACCTGGCTTGACCATGGAGGAATGATATTTTGATTGTGGGCACTGTACTGATTTTCTGTTGGAGAGAAAACAAAATCAAGCATGGAATAATTACTTTTCTACTGGGAGCCAGTTCTTGGATTTGGGGACTTAGAATATTATTCCACTGAATTATTTTAGAAAACCATATTGTTTTGCTGGTCTCCATTTATCTCACACATAAAATACTGCCAAATATTTTCTTATCATGTTTATCGGTTCGACCATGAGAATAAAAAATTACAATATAAATGAATGAAACTTTGTTCTAAAATCTGTTTCTTTTCTCATTCTTTCCCTTTTTTACATGGAAACTCTTCAAATATTTGATGACTACTCTCATGCATTATCTTTACCTTAATTTTTTAACATTAAACATCCCAAATTTCCTATTTGTTGTTTCTAATGGAAATAAGTCATGTATCTTCTGGATAGTCTCTCATTCATCCATTGCCTTTTCAGAATGTATTATCAGGATTCATAATTCACCTCAAATCTAAATATTACCAATATACTGAGTTTACCAAATATCAATATCTTTAGCTCTCTTTTCTACTTCCCTGATGATTGTCAGAGTATTACTCAATTATCAGATCAAGTCAGACTGAAACATCCCTAAATTTCAGGACAAAATGAGCTTTGTATTTGGCACAGAAAATTTAAAACTTTGGGGTTATAAAACATCAAAGATCAAGGGACATCCTTAACTGTTGCTCTCGGTGGCTTTGGGGCACTCCTTTTGACTACAGGGACACTATAGCTCACTTTTGCAGATCCATATGGGTGTGTTCATTTCAGTAGTCTGATATTCCTGAGCCATCTAGAAGTTATTCTATAATTAAAACTTGCTAGGGCAAACTCAGAAAACTATTAACTGTATCTGAAGTTAACACAGGTATATAGGAAACTAACAACTCAAAAAAAAAGAAAAAGAAAAAAAAAGAATTCAAACTCAAATCTAAAAAAAAAAGAAATTAACAACTCTGCTATAGGATGTCTGAAAGAAAACTTTTACGTATAGAGGATTTAAAAAAAAACAACAAAACAGGTTTCAGGTTAAAAAAAAAAAAAGGTTTAGAAAAATAGCAACCAACCCAAAGGTGCCATACTCTGGTATTTGTTATTTTCCTTATTCTTCAAACAGGAAATAGTTGTACATATTATAAATAAAATTCAATTTTCATCAAAAATGAGAATTACATTTGCTAGAGCAGGTCATGCACATGTGCCAGCAGTCTATAGTGGTACCATTTTATTGATGTAAACACTTCAGTTGAGTCAGAAATCATAGAAAATAGTACATAATAAAGCTAGGATGTAATACCAGTTAATATTTAATTAAAATGTCCATTCATTAGATATTCACATGCCATATCTATGAGATGTAAGACTTCCTTTACAATACCGGTCAGTAGCTTCCAATCTAGTAGGAGATGTAGACAAGTCAACAGTTTATTTCTAGGGGACAAACATGTTGCTAAGACTAGTACATGGGTCATGGGCCAAGGAAGGACTCCTTAAGCCAGACTGTGCATTGTAGAATGATTTCATGCATATACTGTTTTCTTTCTTGGAAGTTGTTTTCTCCCAGTTTGCTACAAAGTACTATAATATGTTGAAGTTTGCCCAGATCTGGGAAGTGTAATGGCTAGATCCTCATTCTTAGCCCTCTGTCTTCTCTAAGCTTAAAAATATTTGAAAAGCAGATCAATAATGAACACCAATTACAACAGAGCACATATGACTCAAAAGAGATGTAAACCACTGGTCCGCTGATCCTGATAAGATCCAGCTTGGTATCACTATTGCTCACATGACACTGTCTCTTCCTCTGATTTCTTCCATGGGCATCTCTCTTCCAACTCATAAATGCTGTTATTTCTCAAGATGTTTTTTGTGACCTGCTTCATTTTTCTCTCAGCCCACTTTCCCTTAAAAATCTCCTTTCCTCCCCCGATGTCAATAATCACTTCTATGTAGCTAACTCCCTAAATTAGATGTGCAGTTCTGTCTTCCTTTTCATGAACTACCAACCATACCCCACTTTTACCTGTAACCTCGGCCCCTTAATTTGGATGTTCGGCATGCACCTCACATTCAACATGCTCACAACATAGCAAGCTTTCCGTCTCAAGCTCTGTTCTTCACCTTTTATTTCACTTCAATAACATTACAATCTCACTTCTTTAATCTCCAAATGTCAGATGTATGTTCCACTTATCCTTTTTAATTACTGATAATCTCATAGGCATTCATTGGTAAAAGTCCTTTGGATTCTACTTCCATCATCCTGGGTCAGGCCTTACTCATTTCTTAGCTGTTATAATTCTATTTTAGTAGGTCTTCCTCTCTGTTTCTTTCTCCTTCTGGCCCATTCCACATAGAGCTGAAAATTTATCTTTCCAAATCTTACCACTGATTATGTTCATGGTATCCTGGAAAATAATTATGGTTACCCATTGTCAAAAAACCAGCAGCTAGATCTGTTTTTGATTTCTTTTGAATTTGAGTCTGATATCTTTGACTTGGAGATGATCTCTTTTCCCAAGTACGGTATTATTGTGCTCACATCTTATCTTTTTTCTTTGACTACAATATCCTTGACTCAGCTATCTCACCAGGGCTTAGTAGATGATCAAACAGATCTGTTGATTAAATAAATGAATAATCTTTCATTTGCATATCACATGACTTATATTTTACAACAAGGGTGGGGATTTTCTCAAGACCTGGGCTATTTTCTAGGAGAGATGTCTTTGGAGATACACACTCCATGCTGCCTGGACTCCTCAAGGAATTACTAGGAGCTATGGGGTCAGGGTTTATCAAGTTTCCTTACTGAAACCAAAAGTCAGACACTTAACCAACTGCACCACCCACGAGCCCCAAGAATTTGCATTTACAGCAAGGTCTCGGGTGATGCTGCTGCTGGTCCAGGGACTACACTTTGAGGAACTCTGCTCTAGGACACTGTATAGGCATCCAGAGGGCTCAAAGGCATCAAAGAACTGCAGGTGGTTGCTAGGTAACTGACCAGAGAACAACAAAACTAAACATTGCAGCATCAGATCCATGATAAGTGGTGCTGATACTTACAGGGGATGTACTCTAAACAAAAAAGCTGAAAATCCACACTTTCATCAAAAAGGAAATAGATTCTTGCCTAGAGTAATATGTACATTAACTGTATTAAGCTTAAATGCGCCTCAGGAATTGGTGCTAAGGCCTCAGTCAGTTCTCTATCTCTTTGTATCATCAGGACAAATTTATAGTAATTAAGCTGGTATCTCTTGGATAAAAAGGAGTTGTACACATGCAGATTATCTTGGTAGTAAATGTGGCTCAAAAGCCCCTTGTGAGCATCTGCAGCAGCATCCTCAAATCAGTGGAACACTTGACTGGTATCTAATTCCTCTTTCCCTAGAGTCTATGTCAGAGCAGTAATGGGCTAGGCATTTATTTACTACCAGAAGGAAACTCCTGATTTAAAAGTTATCAGACTGCAAACATCATGCCAGATACCATACTAAATTTAGCAATGTTCTCTGACTCAAAATCATATGGATTTTAAGGTTTCTTCTATTTTCCCAATTACCAGATAAATATGAATCTTGGGTAAAATCTCTTCAATTCTGTTTAATATCTGTAAGAACATATATTGATTTAGTATCTACAAGAACATATATTGACTTAATATCTTAATGTCTGAGCTTTATATGACTGGAGAAACTTTGAAAAATTAACATTTTTTTATAACCATAGAAAAAACAAAACTATGCTAAGGTTTTTAAAGAATAGGTCTGTGATCTTTTCAATTCAACTTAAGTTTATAAACAACTTAAAAGTGGTTAATCATAACATGGTAGTACCACAGAATATTTTATTCTAAACTTTATTCTTTAAATTTTATTTTCTGTAATTTAAACCTTCAACTATAATTCTGTTCATTGAAGAGATGGAAAACAGCTGGTGTACATGTTCTTTGCAATAGTTTGCACAAATTCGAATACAGTCATTGATTTACTCTTCCCATGACTTTCAAGTGATTCTGATTGCAATGTTCAACAAAAAATGAAAAATGGGAATGATGTCAGCAAAATGGCCAAATAAGACATCTGTGCGTAAATCCTCTCAGCCATGGTCCAGAGCAAGTCCTGCCCACCCAGGGTCCCATACAGTGACCAGGCAGAAGCTCAACCAGGGACCTGTTTGGAGCCATATCTGTCCACACACCTGATAAAAGCCCGCTGACTAAAGACCCAACTGTGGACCCTGAAATGGACAATTATAGAGGTACTATCCTACTGAGCAAGGTACTAGCGGTAGGTCCATACACCCAGGTACCAGAGGAGATCCTTGCCCACCTGAGCCCCTGGCAACAAACCTGCCAAACACAGACCTCATTGCAGACCCAGAAATAGCTGCAAATCTGGCTCAAACCCAGAATGACTGCAACTCTGGAGGTAATCCCATTGGCTTGGAGAATAGACAGGAGAAGGACTTTACCTGCTGAAATCATTCTGTAAAGACTACAAGACGTGTTTGTTCTTTCAAGTGC